GGGGGAGGAAGTTTGGGGGTGAGAGGAGGGAGAGGGAGAAGAGACTTGAAATAAGCTTGTTCCCTAACTAGAACTAATAAAATAAAAAAAACAAAGAACCATCTAGTATAATGAATATTATTTTTTAAAAAAGATTAAGCATAGGGGATGTAGCTTTCCTGGATTAATTATGAAGCATAAACATTACCTGTGCAGTTTTCCCCAGAAACTCCACAGAGAGAGCTATTGGTTTCAGGTGTTCTGGTTGTGTTCCCATCTGCCACCACACAGTGGAGAACTGCAAGACCTTCAAATCAAAAACAGAACCAGAAAACAAATTTGAAACTTTACTTGACATAAAATATCTTCTAATGTCATACCCACTATGGAAAACAGCAAGCCTGTGACTTGTTGCATGCTATTCTCTCTTAGTCAGGAGGGGGGCCAGGGAGCAGCAGGTCTTAGTGTGTTCACCTCAGTGTAAAGATAGAATTTTCAAACCAGTACCACTTCCTGTAACTACACATCTTTAGGGAGGAGGCTTGCCACAAAAACAGAGTAGAGGGATGGGATTCCTGTCACCAGATAAATACATGGATGAAAATGCAGGGAGAATAAGTGATGAGCGCCCATGGCACAGGGACTATTTCATTCCCTACAGCTTCATGCTCTTCTGTTTCTCAGAGGTTAACTTTCAAGTGTACTTCCATTGGTGAAGCAGTCAAAATAGATATTCAGTCCATGGGGATTTTTTAATTGTTGATATTAAACTCAGGTTTCATGCATCCTCGGCAAGCCCTCTGCCATTAACACATACCCCAATGATGATTATTTAAGAATTTTAGGTTCCTCAACTTAATAATCTCTAAGAGGGACCTTATATTTTCCTGGGAAAAGGAAATGTGTTGTTGGAATGGCTGAGAAAACAATGAGTTGTACTTGTGTTAATCCTGATTCAAGTATGAAAAGTCATATATGAGACCGCCAAAAAAATTAGCACTGATCCTACTAGATCCTACTAGAGAACTGCTGTAAACATTTCAAAATACAGTGATGACATTGTGCTTATATTATATTAAGTATTAATATATCATAAATATATTTAAATAGTCATTAGTTAAAGAAGGTACTTAAAATCCACTTTATTATTATCATAATCATTATTATTTTGTGATATTGACAATCAAACCCATTGCCTTTGGATTGCTGGGCAAGTGCTATACCACTGAGCTACACTTGCCTTGAGTCTTATTTTAAAATAACATTATGGGGATGAGGTACAAGATGAGGAAAGAAAGGCAAAGGTGATGTAAAACTCATGACATGTTAATAGTTCTTGAAGCTGAATGTTAGATGGGTCAAGGTTTATTATGCCAGTCTTTCTAGTTCAGACATGTTAAAAATATCTATGATGAAAAGGGGAGAGATTAGAAAAGGGTAAAAGAGACAAGAAGAGTAAAAGAAAGATGGCTTGGAAATTGGCTACTCCTTAGGTCAAGACCTTGTTGACAGTGTTGAGTATGTGAAGTATGTGTTAAGGATACAGATCACTAAACACATCCTGGCAAATAATTAGTGCTCAGTCAATTGCCTCATTGTTATGCAGCTGACAGAAATAACAGGCATTCCTATTGTTGTTGAAAATTATACATCTGGCCAACAGTTGCTAGGCAACATGTTCTCCAGTTCCATTTAATTCAACAAGCAATCATGAGCCTTTGGAAACACCCAGGTGGATACCATACAGTTGACCCTCAACAAGCCCTAGAGCTACAAGTCAGATAAGGAGCTGACCAATTAACCACGACAGAAAATGATAGCAATCTGTCAGGAAACAATGACTAGCAAATTATAATGTCAATACTTTCCAAAAAAAACAGCCTTTATAATGTCAGCTTTGCCAGTTTTCAAATTGGAAAACACTGTCTTAAAGAAAGAGAAAGTACCAAATGCTGGAGAAGTTGAACAGAAATGGAAACTCAAATTGCTGGTGATAGGCAAATTTACTCTTGTTTTCCGGAGCATAATTTAACACGAACCATAAAAACAAAAGTAACACGCAATTCGACTAGCACCCATGAGCACCAAGCAACCCTGAAGAAGTTGAACAGAAATGGAAACTCAAATTGCTGGTGATAGGCAAATTTACCCTTGTTTTCCGGGGCATAATTTAACACGAACCATAAAAACAAAAGAAACACGCAATTCGACTCGCACCCATGAGCACCAAGCAACCCTGAATCTGCTGGGATCGCTGGGCTACTCCTGCCCCTACTCAGGGCAGAGGTGAGCTGCTTTGGCTCCTGACTTGGACCCAACTTCTGCCTCCCCAGTCTGGGAAAGCCCGTCCTGGGGTCTGCAGACAGGTTAACTCGGCCACTGAGAACCAAGCAAACCAGAGTCTGCTGACATCTCTGTGCTAGTCCCGCTCCCACCCAATTGGAGAGTAAGTGCCTCAGACCCAGACTCACCCACCTTGAGACCCATCAGAGTATCGGACCCTCTTGCACCCACCAGAAAAGAACCTTGGACCTATTTTTTAATATTTCTACAGGCATATTTTGCTTGTTGCAACAGGACAGAAAGGAGTGAATCCTTCTTTTAAAAAGTCAAAATGTGGCCACCAAATTTCCATTATTTACACTTTTTCCTCTAGCACTTGCTCTTCCCTTCCCACTTAGAACAATCAGAAGCAAAAATTGCTGTGGGCTCCTCAAGCACAGAATTTATAGACCACTCATCTTTGTAATCTCTGTATCTAACACAAAACATGATACATAAAGAACCAGTAAATGAACAGTCTATTTTCAAAGCTAAAAATCCCTGCAGAATTTGCTGCTGGGAAACAATAAAACACAGTTAACTCATTTCTAAAGTCCAATTCATGAGTTGGTTTTCCCCCCGGAACAAAATGAAGAAGACTTAACTCTATAGTTCATGTACTCTAATAGCTAAAATTTTTTAAAAAAGAAAAAGGAGAGAGGGAAGGAGGGAAGGTGGTTAACGAAAAGTAATGAAGAGAGACTGGGGAGATGGTCTAGTCAGTAAGGGGACAGCCACACAAACATGAGGACCTGTGTTTGGATTCCCTGGCACCCACTTAAAAAATCATCATAGTTATAAACTCTGGTGCTAGGGAAGGGGAAAGAGACAGCTATTGATGGAGCTTGCTGCCCAGCCAATACAGCCAATTGGTGAGCTCTAGATTCAGTGGGAAACCTTGTCTCAAAAAAAAAAAAAAAAAAGGTGGACTGCAATAGAGGAAGATGCCCAACATCCACTTCTGGCTTCTACATGCAAGTTCCCACATATATGCATGCACACACAAATATGAACATACATACATACATGGAATTTGTATAAAGAAAGGAAAGAAAGAAGAAGAGAAGGGAGGGAGGTCTAAATCTAATAGAGATTCGGTATCTACAAGCTGAAAATGGAAACATTTACTTCTCAGAATTGGTATAAAGGTTAAGTTTTATCAGAAAATATCTTAGAGTACTACACATTTTTTATCTAGATGCCTTTATTCCTAGTATTACTTATAATTTAACCTATTATTCTCCACTTCTATCTAATGGAAGGAACACTGATTCCATTGAAACTGCACAACTATTCAAATATTCCATCAAACTAAGGCCTATGGCCAAGCTCCTTCTGCTCATACCCACTCCACATCCTGGCATCAGTTGACATAAAGAGGCCACCAGCTCAGAGGTAGAGACAGGGCCAAGAGAGGAAGCATCTTCAGATAGACCAGTACCCAGTTCAAGAGCGCTGAACAGCATACACTCTACCTCCTATTGACATCCAACCCATCTCCAGCTAATAACTGGTGGCCATAAACCTCTCTGGAAAAAATTGCATTTTTGACCTGAACAAATTCTAATAATTAAGCTAATGTAGTTCCTCTCAAATCTGAATTTAGTTCCTCTATCCTTATAACAGATAATAGTAACTCCCCCCTACAAGGACCTGACATAAATGAAGAAACAGAAGATTTTTAAGTACTATAGACTCCATTAGGTTTGCTGTGCTCATTTTAACTACTGGATCATCATGGGACTTTGATTTGTAAGAAGAGACTGAGAAATCAGTGAAATATTCACAAAGCCAGTTACCAAATACTAGAGACTACTTTACAAAGAAAACTGTTATTCCATCCATTAGTCAACAAATACACATTATGCACTATGTGCTTAGTACTGATGTGTGACGCTGAAGGCTAAAAGATAAAGGTATTAAGGCTAACCTTAACATCTCATATTCCAGTTAGAGGGATGCACACATCATCAAGATACTACACAATAAACAAAGTGAAAGACAATGCACAAGGAGCCTGAAAGCAGTTCTGATGACAAAGGGCTCATAAAGAAAGTTTATGATGAGTTTTTAATGGGGGATAAATGACTTTTAGAGTATCAATTAATTACTTGCTCAAAAATGTGTAAGCAAAATTATCATAATATTTTATCAGCTGCAGCAGTGGTTAGCATCCATGTGGTCACAATAATGCAAATACTGATCATTTCACACAAAGTTGTCATAAAATTGGAGACAATAATTATCCAACATTTACTATCTAGGGAATGCGGTAGTGATTAGTCAGTTCCTGACACTTTTGTGTATCTGCTGTCAAGGGAGCCATGCTGGCAAATGGAATGTTATCATGAAAAGAACTGGAAAAAATCTTAGGAAAATAATACCTTACAGTTACTCTAGGTAAGACATCACTGTTTAAGGAAGTACAAGTTCTAGCTTAAATAAGTAGGATGTGTCCCATGAATCTTTCACTGATCACAATGTTGGTATCTGGGGCTGGATATCTTTGTGATGAGAGGTTGTATATTGTAGAATGATTACGTGACTTGGGCCTTTCCCTGTTATATGTCTATAGTATGCAGGGCTCCTCTTCCCACCACAACTGAACTATCACTGTGTAAATGTGCAGACATCAGCAAATGCTCCTAGGGTTAAGTGAACTCCTCCATATGAGAACCAGTGCAACCCTCTGCAACCTATTTTATGTATTTTCACCTAAAGTACAGCTTGCATTTTTACTACATCCCTTTAATTTGAACCAACTGGACAGCCTTCAAAGGCTTATGCTGTGACTGCTTAAAGTCCTTAAGTATCACCATCTCATGGAAACATCCCAGACTCAATTATTAGTTCACTATGTGACTTTGAGCTAAGGAAGACTTTATCTTTTTCCTCAAGAAAACCTTGGATTATAGATTTTCTGCCCATCAACAATCTAGTTCATGAAAAACAAGAATTTTTTAAGAAGCACATATCATTAAAATT